TAAATGTGTCAGGGCTGTTACGCTTTTAAAATATCTGTCTCAGCTCACTGTGTACCTTTATTAATAGGTGAGGCTGTCTCCAAAGGAACCAAATCAAAAAGATGATGGCGTTTTTAAGGCTCCTGCACCACCACCCAAAGTGATAAAAACTGTGACCATACCAACCCAACCCTACCAAGAAATTGTCACTGCACTGAAGTGCAGAAAAGAAGACAAAGAGGTAAGCCGTTCTGTATAATCTTCCTGCACATGCATCGATGTTTGTGTGTGACATTCAGCCTTTTAATGTCTTGATAAATATCAGTACACCCGACATTGACCGTTTTGAGCCATTCAGTAAGAATCATTTTGTCCTACTGACCACTTTCGTGCCTTAAAATTATTTTCTGTTTTATCTAATGAGCTATTCCTCCATACATTTGTAAGTAAAATACAGCAAGCCCGTGGACTTCAATATTCTAGTGCATTGTTTCAAAAGAGATGAGATTGTTCTTTTCTTGGCAGTTATACACTGTTGTTCAGCATGTAAAGCACTTCAATGACGTGGTGGAATTTGGTGAAAATCAAGAGTTCACTGATGACATTGAATACTTACTAAGTGGCTTAAAGAGCACTCAGCCTCTAAACACACGTTGCCTTAGGTAAGATCTTGTTTTTATATTTTACATACATGCAATATCCTTACATTTTTCCAGATGGATGGGATATTGTCAGGGAAGCCAAACATCTGTGAGTGTGTTATTATTTTTATGTGTTATTATTTTTACAGACAGTGATAACAAGTTAAAAATTCCACCAGTTTCCTGTAAAGGACTTGATTTCTATTTGGGATTGTTGTTGAATGAGTAGTTTTTTGACTGCATGATGGCACGTGACAGGAAAAAACCGCACCCCCTAGGGTTTACTATGCTGTAACTTAATGCCACTCTTCTCCCATTTGTGCAGGTTCCAACAGCAGCGGAGCCCTTAACAGCCAGCTGTGTAGCCACAGCTCAGTGTTTTGCCCTTTGGAACTTAAATGTTGGCATTCATAATCTCCCCTTTACAAAGCAATTATTAGTTGCCGTGTAGAATTTTAAGAATTTTGCAAATTAAAAAACAAAATTTTAATGCACCTAATTGGAAAAATTCTATTTTGTAAAAGATTATCTGTAGTTAAAATAGTTCTTTTGCCTATGTGAGTGCTATTGTGGCACAATAAAAATTAGCAACGATAAGTTAGAAGTCATTAATTAAAATTGCCATCATGTGCTCTTAGTGGGGCAAATAAATTGCTTTTTTATTTTTCTTTTATGTTTTTATTCACATGTACATTTAACAATCTCATACAAAGATATTTCACATATCAGAAGTATTATAAATGTAGCTAAGACTTTTTGCTTAGAAATGCACTGAAGATTTTTGAATAGAGTGTGCTCGATTTTATATATATACTCAAGCTCGTTGCCATCTAACTGATAGTTAGCCATCAGTTAAATTTTAAATAATTCTACTTGCATATGCTTTTGATATAGACAGACAATGCACTTTCTGCCTCCTCCGTGTGCTAATTTTGATATTGCATAAACTTCAAAATGAATACACGAATTTCCGTCCTAGTAATCTAGTTTGTTTTCTTCTAGTGTTATTAGCTTGGCTACTAAATGTGCCATGCCCAGTTTTCGAATGCACCTGAGAGCACATGGGATGGTAGCAATGGTCTTTAAAACCTTGGATGATTCCCAACACCATCAGGTATTTTCAAGTTTCTGTAATTTAGAAGCATTGTTCTAGTCCATTTTGACATTTAGAATATGTTTGATAATTATGTGATGGTATATATAATATTTCCTTATGAATATGGTTCATATTGGCTGATTGTAGCACTCGATGCTAAATGTTTTTCTTCATCACTTGAGATTTTCTTGATAACATTTTTCTCTTGTATTTTATAAAATTTAAACTTGATTCAATTATCATAGCTGGAATATCATACCTGATATTTAATTCTATAAACATCAATTTTCTCTAATCAAAAGGTGCTGAGAAGAGTATTTTAGTATTCAATATTAGTAGTATGAAAAGTAGTATTGTAGTATACCCCTAGTTTAAAGGAGAAATAAAATGGATATAGCTGAGTGGGAAAGTAGTTAACTATGTAGAACTAAAAATGCTAATGGTGAAAAGAAATAGGAATAGTCCCATAAATATAACTACACTTGCTGTCTTTTTGCAGCTAGATGGTGTTTTAAATTGCATTCCCTAACCATATATATGTGTATAGTGTATATTAAATAATTACTGAATTTTCTTTTCCACTGAATGTGGTTTTCACCATGATTTTGGAAACTTATAGCATAAAATTGACTTTCAGTTCTGAAATACCCAGTTCCTTCCCATTCTTTTGCTCAGATCAGTTGTATTGTGTATATAGCCTTGTCTAGTACTATAGAAGATTGCATTTATTAAGTGTGTCGACATCTGTAGATGCAGGGAATCCAGGATATAACTCCGTTGTAAAAAAGTTCCTCAGTCCTTTAGACTGATGCTTTTTATAAAAAATAAAAGGTAATAAAATTCAGGTTTAAATCCAGGAAGTTGAATTTTTAACACTGTCAAATCTAGAAGACTGTAAATCCTCATAGCTAATTATAATCTATAATGGTAATTTTGAGATGTCTTTTACTTTTATTCAGGAAAATGATTTCCCAAATCAGATGAGGTGTTCAGGCATTCTGAAATTGCAAGCAGTATACTTAACCCAGAGTGAGCATAGCTCCTTTACCAAATCATACCAGATATAGAATAAACAATAAGTAGGAAGATATGAGAACTAAGAATTAACTTTCTTTTTTTATCTTGGGGCCAGTGGTTGTCCCATGCCTATACTGTAGTTTCCTAATTGCCAACAATAATTTGCTCTGTAAGTCTTTAACCAATCACGTAGTCTGAAATTTCTCTTACCTTTGGAAATTTGGAGTTTAAAGTAATTTTAGATGGTTAATTGTATTTCTGCACATTAACATGAATACAGGAAATCTCAAATGTTGGAATAATTAAAATATAAGGCCTTTGTGTTTTATGCCATTGATTACCTAAAGCATATCACCTTTAGTATTTAGAGATTATTTTAATAAACAATGATACCCAAAACCTGATAACCTGTTGCTGTCAAGTCGATGCCAAATCATGACTACCACAATGTTAACGTACTAGAATTTCCTTACAGTGATTTCTTGGCTGCAGTTGTTATAGAAGCAGTTCCTCAGATCTTTTATGGCAAGGAGCCCTGGTGATGTAGTGGGTTAACTGCTAAACATAGAGTCAATAGTTCAAACCCACCACTCTGAGAAGAGGAGAGGGTTGGAAGGGTGGAATAAATGAGGCCACCTGGTAAAGCAATGATTTAAAAGTCTTGGAAATTTATAGGTGCCTTTCTACTCTACCCTGTAAGGTCACTGAATTACTTGAAAGGCAGTAGATTTGGGGGTTTTTTGGTTTCATTTGCTGGCAATGCTGGGTGAGTTCAGACTAACAGCTTTTAGTTAGCACCCAGTCATAAGAGGCTTGAGCCAACCAGTAGTCAGTCACTGTATATTATAGTACCTGTAAAAGCACAGTGTGCTAACTACCTAGTAGTGAATTGTCTTGAAAATATATTAAGAGCTTAAAATATATTCCTTGGTTAAACCCAAAATATATTGCTTGGTTAAACCCAAATTATCCCTAGCCTGTATACTGACTCACAAAAAAGTATACTGTTTCTGATGCAGATTTCAAAACACATTTCCATTATTCATTTTACATGGACATTTCACAGTATCTGACATATAACTTACGAAGTATAGTTTAATACAAATATGTATGTATGTGTGTATGTATTTATCTAGGCCCAAAGAAGTCTGCAGTTTAGCTTTTGTTCTTCTAATATTAGGGCATTTATTTAGAGAGTACCAGAGAAGGAAAAATTTAAGTGATAGTCTTTCCCTTAATTTATAAATATACATTCCAAGAATAATTTAGGAAAGGTTATGGAATAAAACATCTTGAAGAATTTCAACATGGTCAACAATAGGAATTTTTGGCTTTTGGTAGCATTAAAATATTGACACTTAATATTCTCATTTGAAATTGTCCCTAATTGCTTTTATGAACTTTTCTTTGTCTGTTTAAGAATCTGTCCCTCTGTACAGCTGCCCTCATGTATATATTGAGTAGAGATCGCTTGAACATGGATCTTGATAGAGCTAGCTTAGATCTAATGATCCGTCTTTTGGAACTGGAACAAGATGCCTCATCAGCTAAGTTACTGAATGAAAAGGACATGAACAAAATTAAGGAAAAAATCCGAAGATTGTGTGAAACTGTACACAACAAGCATCTTGATCTAGAAAATATAACGGTAGGTTCATTCCTTTCATTATACAACGGAAAATGCTTTCAGAAAGCAGCTGTGTGACGGTCTAACTTTTCTTAGTCATGGTTTGTAATGGAACAGATTCTTTCACGGTTCAGTACTGAGCAGAATTCCATTTTCTGTCTGAAATTCCTAGACTACCTCATCTGTATGTAGGTTTCTTGCCAGTCGCTAGTTGTAAATTTCTGTCCTGATTTTTCTCTCCTTAAATGCAGGGCATTAGGAATGTAAATTCCTATTCTCTGGATTTCAGGAATAAAGATTCAGAGGATTTACAAAGGTTCTTTTTATTGAGCAGTAACTTTTTCCAGGATTTTTTAAGGAGTCTGACTTTGAGAAGCTGATGGATTTGGGAGGCTCAGCTGGAAGGTTGCTAGAGCAGCACCCTTCACTGATTGGTGAGGCCACAATGAGTAGTTACTCTTTCGCTCCCTAAACAAAACTTTTGAAGTCAAGATATGTTTAAGATGACCTTGCTGCTGTTAGCTTAAATTCATGGTTTTTGTTTTGTTTTGTTTCGTTTCTGGTTTCCTTTACTTGTAGAAGCTATAGTATCTCCACTGGTTAATAGGTTATTACAGTTAAGTGGCCTGATAGTTTGTTATATAATACCCGATTTTCAGATATTTCCAACATCAGCAGCATATGATTTTTTCTACTGACTTTTATTTTCTACTAAAGTGTTTATCTCAAGTATACAGAATGTTTTGTCTTTCAGGATACTGGCCTAGGGTTATTGCTGTATTTAATTATAGAGTAAGGTTAGGGAATGTTAAATTGCTTGTTAGGGGACAGGTGTAAGCTATAAAAGGCAAAATGATACGCATTTAGTACGTATTAAAACTGCTAAAAATAACTTTTTTTAAAATAACTTGTGTTTAGATGGTAGAATTATAAATATTCTTTCCATACTTAACTGGCAGGGAATATACCATGATCACAAAGGTGGTTTTCCCTGGGAAATGCTTACCCATTGCATTTTGGGTGTGCTGGCCCCTGCGATTTCCCCAAATATGGGAGACTTGACTGCATATTTGTGGTAACGGGAGACTGTGTTCACGCTATCCCCTGAAAAAATAAATAAAACAAAAAGGAAAAAGGTCTTTCCACCTTACATAACCATCTGTATACTACCAGTGATAGTGTATTAATTTTTATTTACTTATTTTCTTTGTGATTTACTTGAAGACTTCACACAGATCTGTTTTCCATGCTAAAATTCATACACATAATTGCTTTCATCTTATTGACTGTATTGCCAACAATATAACACCACATGTCTCACTTTCTCTCCATATTTTCATTCTTCCTTTCTTAATCCTTCTGAATTTTGTCCTTGGGCGGATGCTGCCCTTTGATGTCAAATGGTTGATTATTCCCCAGTGTCAGTGTTTTTGTTCCCTTGATGTTTGTGTTTTTTGTTTGGCTGAACATTGAGTGAGGGGTAAGCTCACTGCTAGACCTGAAGGATGGTTAAAGGCCATAGTTTCACTGGTTCCACCAGTCTCTCTATCTGACCAGTAAGTCTGGTCTTTATGAGTTTGAGTTTTGTTCCACATTTTTCTCCTGTTCTGTGTAGGACCTTCTAATGTGATCCCTTTCCAAACAACTGGCAGTGGTATATGGGTACCACTAGTTCTTCTGGCCTCAGGAAAGCTGCTGTTTTTGTGTCCATTAGTGAATTGAACTATATTTCCACGCATCGTCAGGCTTCATCAAGTTCTTTCTTCCAGAGAGACTCAATACTTGCACTCATGAGTTTTCAAAAGTCCAGTCACAACTCAACAAAGTAGGATGCAAAACTTTTTCTTTATAAACTGTTATTCCAGTTGCCTTTGTTGT